ACAAATTTTGATTGACTGTTAATTTTTTGTAGGGCCGCAAGAATAGCTATTTTGGCTAATTATTGAGTTACAAATAGCTTATATCAATCTTCAGCGCTTTTTTCCCCTTAGCTCTCTTTGTCTTTCTATTCGACTGTCAATGGGGTCTTCCGTCTGCTTCCGACGTTTGTTAGTTGGCATTGTGCGCATTTAATTCGCATTTGAATGGGCTCGGTCTTACGTACATATATACCTCGACCCAAATTATGCAACTCAATTTGTATGTGCAAATGCCCTGATTCAATTGCAGTTCCTTCTACAGTGCTTTGTACCGGAACCAGGACCGGTAGCATTTACGAGTAAACATTTGCTGGATAGGCCAACGCCCTGATTTACGCTTTCAATTAACGGGTTACTTAACAACTTTGAATTCATTAACTAAAAGAAATACGTACAAATAATTTATTTAGGACTCAAGTGCTTTGAACTTATCCCATTAGTCAGTCAGTAATTAATTATAGTGCACCTTAAGCGCGAAAAAAATCTTTAAAGTCTGCCCAGATATAGGCAATGGACAATTAAGAATCAACTCGAATACTATTGACAGGACGATGCATCAGTAATATTAGAAATAATCCTTGAATTTCCAAACAAATGTACAAATATCGTAAAAAATTTTAACGAATTTTTAACGAAACTGTTAATTTAATTTTTTTAGTCTTTTTTATTTTATTTTTTTTTATGTTATTAATTTATTGTCAATTAGAACCTAGAACCAAATAGTACTTTATCCCTTTACATGATCGTATACAGTTATAATGCGACTAAATTTAAATATATGTATTAAATTTATTTAAAGAAGTGAAGATTCATTTTTAATTTAAGAATCCTGCGTGATAGATTCTGTAAACTCTTCTCTTATTAGCCTGAACAGCGCATCTTACAAGTCGGTTAAGGAAATTTAATCAAATTTATTATTAAAGAGAGCTTAATTTACCTATACTTCTTACTTAATTAAACCTAAAACCATACTTCTTACTTAATAAAACCGCAAATCATTTTAAGAGTTTTGCCCTTCACTTAATATCGTAAATTCGATATTAACATCCGAAGCTCATTCTAGAATTTAATAATAAGTAAAACAGAAAAGTTAATCCATAGATCAGTATTAAAATTACCCTTAAACGCTCTTAACAGCATTTCCCTTAGCGATCTGATCTTTCCCATTTCTCTCTTAATCTGCCAGCCTCTCATTAATTCGCCGCCATTCAAGTTATATTCCCATTGGAATTAGTTTCGTGCTCCTTGCAGTCCGAATTCGTGAACTCTTGGAATTCGAATTGGAATTTGGGTGGCGGGAGTGCCGCAGCCGAAACGTCACGCTCAGTTGGAAATCGTTCCTTGTTAGCAGACGTCGTCGGTTGAACTGCATTTTTTTTTATTCGGATATTGCGTTGTGCCAAAAATTACAAAAAACTACACTTATATCTTGTAAATGTATAATGTGTACGTCGCGCGTGTAACAATAATAAAGGTTAGCACAGTTAACCTCAAGAGCAAAAGAGAATGAGCATTTTTCCCACTAATAATATCGAGTGTGATCGCGAAGTGAAGCCGTTCTAGGCGCGGAATTATTATACGCAATTTATTTATGTTGTGTTAGTTGTTGTGTTTGTGTTCGTTAAAAATAAAACAAATGTTCAAATTTAAAATTAGCTTTTTGCAAATTGCAAATTCTTTTTGCAATGCCCTTTTTTCTTTTTCGATTGCTCTAAATTTTTTCATCTTCTCCCATTCCTCGCTTTCAATAACGGATCTCCGTCTTGACGGCGGGTAGGTAGCGATTGAGAGAAGGAAAGAAAACAAGCCAAGTGCAGTGACAGTTAATTTTCTAGTGCTTTCTAATTCCTCGTTCGCTTCTTGTGCAAATCATAAAAAAAAATGCATTCCAGTGAAGCATCCGCACATTAGTTCAATGGAAGCGCTGTGGAAGGTTAGGTGAACGAACGTAAGTGAAATATTTCTCTTAAATTTATTCAAACGGAAAATTGATTTTAACGAGCAAATGGCGAAACGTAATTAAAATTTAATTGAGTCGAGATATGAAATTTAATGTGTTGATTACGATAATAGTATTAAGAGAGCAAGATACATTTTAAGATACTCTACAGATAAGAGGATACTTTGCTTAAAATATTATGAGTAAATGCGGTCAACTAACTAATTGAAATATAGTTTTCTTGAATTTCGCTGACGCAAACTAGATTTAAATCCATAAATTAAAATTTGATTCTTGACACTTAAACAAATTGTGTTGTATGATTAAAGGAACGATAAGGAAATTTCGCTCAAGCCCCTTAAAGATTTATACAGTGCCACAGTAAATGAATACAGAATAATGTACGTTAACGGGAATAACAATCTAGTGTGCATGTCTCAGGTTTCAGGAAGTACCTGGAGAGGTGTTTAGTCATTCAGAGCATGCTTGTGTTATCGCCCCACTGACAAACCGACTGACGGACGTACTGACTGGGTGAAGGAGATGCTACCTGATGCACGAGTGCTTAAGTGGCTCTCCGCGACGGCAGCAGCATAAAAAACAGGCAGACAAATCACTTAGTGTACTTTTCGGCGCACATTTGTTATTTGCATTGGGCTGACGTGTGTGAAGGTCGCGAGCATTGACTACGTCATCGTACAGCAAGCATATTACCAACAATGTGTTAAGCATAATAATGAGCAGCACACATACAGACATGCATGCAGACAAACTCTACATGCATACAAGCATACATACTTACAATCGTGCATACAAATTATGCATACATGCATACATACATACATACATGCATGCATACGAACTGTACATACATACATACAAACATACATGCATACACACATACATACATACTTACATGAATAATAAGCCTGTAATGCTTGACTTTACGGAGGCCTCTCTTGCTCTCCGTCTCCTTTGGGACAATCTTCCTCCTCTTATCATTTGCATTCTGTGCAGTTGTTGTTCTTGCTTTAAGTAAATTATTCTTGGCTCGTTTCTTGTTACGAAATAATATTTACTGTCTATCTTCTTCAGTTACTTTTTTATCCACATACTTGTTTTTATTAGCAAAATCTGTTGCTTTATCTTGAGTCAACTTTTCCAGCATTTAAAACCCAAAATGAAATTTAAATGAAAATGCAAATGCAAATGCAAATGCGCCTTGGCGACAATTTCCATTTCATATTCCCCCAAGCAATTAGTCTGCCACTTACGTTCAATTATTTATGTGAGCTTGAATTTTGAATCTAAACGTAAAGTACGATTTGTGGGCGTGTGAGTGTGTGCCACTTGGTGTTGCACGTGCGTGGTTGCACTAATAGCTAAAATTTAAGGAAGTTACTTGAGGCGAGGATTTAATGTGAAGCCACATCTTGTCTTTTTAAAGTTACCTGTTTCGAAACATTGACTAAGATCTGTTGTAAAATCCGATAAAAAACAGCAATTGGATTTAAAGCCCGCAACTACTAAGAAAGATTCTGTCAAATCTGCAGCAATTGAACAATTCTGAGAACACCTGAACATGATCCCTTAGCACAAAAATAACAAGAAGAAAAATAAAACTTACACATAAGCTTAAATTACATGAGGTAGTTACCGCAGTTTTCGCACAGTTTCTGCCATTAAAATGAAGCGCTACCTAAAACTTCAAGCATAAAAACGTAATGTATCCTTTGGAAGAGGCTGGGCTGAAGTGTCATCTTACAAACTAGCTTCCACATCAAAACATAATTGCAAGTTGTACGATAAAAATGGAAGCACAACGCTCTAAAAACAATTTGCTGCGGTCATAAATCAAATGAATATTGGCCACAACACGTGCCCAGACATAAATAAACAGAATGCGAAATATACATATGTGCCAAAACTGTGCTAGGCAAATGGCGGCCACGCCCACAATAGGCCAATAAGAAACAGCTGCCAGGACATTAAACTCAATGAGTTGAAATTATTTGCAGCCGAAGGTCACTAGCTAAAATCACGGCTAATGGGGTAGGTAGGCGGTGGTGGGCGGTGTGGCTGGTGGGTTGGTAAACGTGGCCGTGCTACCAGGCATGGCATCTGGGGCGATGCCATAAAAGACAACTTCCGCAAACAATAAATTTAACGCGCCAAATGAGAAAAAGTGGGTCCCCGGGCAGCCCGTGGTAAACCAAGTCGAACGCATTGGTATGAAAAGGGAGGGTCAAGGGGCATGCGTACTTATAAAGCGTAAGCTAAAAATTTTTTATACATATCCTTTTGTTGTTGCATAGTTGGCTGATTAAACTTTTATACATTCGATGAGGGACTAAGTTGTGGCAGCACTTCCCATTTTTGGCTGTAATCAGTTATAAGGCTTATTTATAGAATCTACGTCTGCCAAAGCAACCAAAATGTTAGATGAGCTGTCAGATTTAATAGGACAGCAAGTTAAGCCACAAGAAATCAGCTTCAGCTTGGATTTGCTTAGCAAGTTGGCTAACAACGCTTTAAAATTCAGGCTAATTGAAGGATTTTCATATAAAAGCCGCATTAAACCTAATTGGAAAATAGATAAGCTAATATAATTAAAGCAGATACAATCGGGCAAAGCCGATTAACTTCAAGTTTGTGATGTACAGCTGATAAATAAATATTTAATAGTTTTAAAATAAATTGGTTAAGTTTGGCAAGTCGAACATCTAATACCCTCACAGACATTTGGCTCACGCTTTTAACGATATGCGAGAATAGAAAATTACAATACTTTCTACAAGGTTATAAAAATGGTTTATAAATTCGGTACATAACATTGAAGGTTTGGAACGGTAAATACTTGCGTTTAACTTTTCAGACAATTGTAAATCATTCGAATGCTTTGATACATACAATTTGACTTCAATTGAATAATGCAATAAATCAATTTTAATTGCTCCGGTCATAAAAATTTCTCAGAACAACTCTCATTGGACACACTTGAATTCACATTAAATACAATTGCACCTTCCATTGCCCGCGAAAGCGCTGCACTTTAAAGACTTAACAATGCAGCTTCTGTTGCTGCTACTTAGACTTCTAACAGCTATCAAGCTGTTCGAAGCCCATTTGGTTCGCCAACGGAGTACAGACCCCAACCCCAAGATGCAGGATTGTATCAGTCGACTGCACTTGCAGGGCGTCAATCTGACTAAGGTGGTTGAGTGCATGGCGCGTTCTGCCAACCGCACGGCATTCTTGGAGGATACACTGTGGAAGCTGGACCTGTTGGAGCGCCGTCTGTTGAGGCTGGAGGCCATGGATGCAGGTGAGGTTTATGTGCCGACACCCTACGTGAGCATAGACGATGTGCTGAAAATTGAAGGCAGCGTTGCTGGCTTTGATTGCCAAGCTAAGCAGCATGTCGTGCAGGCCATACGCAGAAAACTGGAGCAAGTTCATATGCAAAATGGCATGGAGAGCACACTGTTTCGGTGGCCCTTCACTAAGATGCGAGAAGCTAAGGACTTGACTAAAGAACCTATTCTCATGGGCGGAACAGCAATCGACGACTTTCCAGACAATGAGATTAACGAGATTGGCTGCCTTATACGACGGGCTGTAGAGCGGCGGACCAAAGCGTTGCCTGCGGAGGCCATCGAAGAAAACAAAAATTCAAAGCACTAACTTCCATTTGAGGCCCATCATAATACCTGTCTCAATTGAATAAATTGTATAGGCACCAACTTGAAATTGTTAATAAATGTAACACACTGACCAGCTGTTGTACAGGTGCCCACACAACCAGAAACGCATTTGTTCACACACGGCGTATGGGTGCTGGCTCTGATTTATACACGGCCACAACAGACACCAGCTGGCCCAGTTCTGGCACAACAATCGCAGCTCAATTCAGGACACTTTGAAGTGCCTGCATGCAAATGTGGGCCAGCGGCAGCGAAGCGCATTAAGTAATTGCTTAGAAGTCGCACAACATGCGGCACAGTAATAACAATAATAACACTATAATAATAACAACAATGAGGCATTCAGCAAGCTGCAGTTCCACAGAAGATGCTGCCATGTGTGGCCGGAACGGGACAAATGGCTTGCCCTGGTCGTGTTGGGGTTATTCTGCTCTGGGCACTTGGCAGACTCTGCGTTTTACTTTTTTTTTTATGCACTTGCGTAGTTTATTTTAATGTGCCATATAAAATAATTTAATGGACGCAACAAGCGGACAGACGGCAACAGAGAGTATGGTAAGGGGGTAATCGGGAGTGGAGTTTTTTTTATAATTACCATAGCGAGCAACTGCAAATGGCTTTAATGGAAAATAGTAACTGATGCCCAGTGGGTCCATCAATTAGAGTTGCGCTAGTAAAAGACCTGAACAATAATTGAAGTCAAGGGGCGTATTCTACTTTTATTATATCAGTTTATAAAAGATAAACGCTTACTTTAATCAGTAAAAAATATAACTCTGATAACTTCCTTATCAGTGAAAATCGATTTAATAATTACTATGTCTTGTGCCTATTCCGTCGTCTGACCACAGCCAAGATTTACAAATTTTGAGTCATAAAAATCAAAACTTCGAAGATCTTACTACTTTGAGATATATTTCATCTACTTGAAGATAGATGCATTAGACCAGTTATCCACCTATGAAAAACTGTTAGTTACCCAAAGAAATATGATTGAAATATTCTGCGAACTTAAATACACCTTTTACTGGTTCTTCCTCTCTTTAAGTGCGGTTCTCGAACCTGGTTATCCATTTTTGAAAACACAAGTGGCTTAGTTCCTTTATCGATTCTGCATATTATAGGGAACTGGGTTGATGAAAGTTTCGTTTAAAATTAAAAATATAAATTGGAATTCCGCAGTCGAACCGATTCGATTCCGTGCAGGCTTGCAGCCTTGTTTGCAATGCCATTGTAAGCGCATCGAACCATATTTTGTGAAATATAAATTAACTTAAAGTATTTCCAACGAGCAGTTTCATCTTTTACTTTATTGTTTTCGTGTTCAGTCGTTGTGTGCGTCATTTTGCCGCCATTTTTATGCGCAAGTGCCCAGCCCCCTACGCCATGAAATCCCTCACAGCTCAACGGCTCGGCTGCAATGTCAATAAAAATTCAATTACGTTTCGTACAAAACTTGTCTGGCATGCCTTTCTTATGGCCATTTAGAATTGGCTATCGGCCGTGCAGACGCACAGCGATTTCGGGCATCAACTTTGTTGTCTACTTTCGGCGCTGAGTGGCATTGCGAAATTTGTTTGACATTTGAATAGCAGCTCCAATTGAATTTGGCCAACAAAAGCGGCTTCAAGTTGCGTGTGCTAGAATCTGGTATTTGGAATGCGAAATCTGAGATTTGAACCGAGCCACTTAAATTTAATGGCATGTTTATGTAACCCAACGCCCACAGTAAATAATCATAATCATAATTTCGGCTGAAATGAGCTACTCAAGTTCTGCCGAATGTGCCCAATATATATATATCTAACTATACTGAACGTTCTTTTAGGCTCCAATCAAAAGCAAATTGTGCGCCTTCGTAATTTGCTGAAAGCCATTTTGGTTCTGGCCACATATGCCAAAAGTGTTAAATAGTTGCCGCCAAGTCGAATTCATGTTAAGTTTTATTGTGCGTGTTATGGCCAAATGGTAATTTGCTCTCTACTTTAGGCAGGTGTAATCAAGCCGCCATCCCCTTCGAGTTGCAGCCTCCGAAGAGCATACTACACGCTCACAACGAGCAGCATAAAACTGTTATACTGTTATACGTGCGCCTTGTCGCTGTTGCTGCTGCATACTTACAGGCGCGCTTAGACTTTAGCCTCAGTCTCCCTTTGCCAGTGCTCTCGTTCACACTGACAACTTTTGCCGCCAGCCGCTAGCCGCCTGTCAACGTGAATGTGCCACAAGAATCGCGTAAACTGTGTAAAAGAAACCTCAGCATTCACATTAATCAGGCGCATAAATGTTCAGTCCTGAATAACGTTTACGTTTGTTTCTCTTGGCTTCATTAGCAGCTGCATAGCTCTGTCTCTTTCTCGTTTGTGGCTCGTTTTGTGCGTGCGTGTGTCTATATGTGTGTGCGTGTGTGTGCGTTAGCCTAATGAGCCAAAAGTGTTTTATCGTGTTGTGTGTGTTAAATATTTAATACAATCTCAAATAAATGTTGCATAATCTGCGTGTCGTTGAGCATTAGAGAGTAGCCACAACAGCATTTCATATTGGCTATGACCCTAACTACATAAACTGACATCCAGTATAAGCTATAAATATCAAGTAAGTAACGTCCATTTACTTTTTTGGTTCTTCAATTATTTATAACAAATAGAAGCTGACGAGCCACAAATGTTGAAAACACTAATGCGATTTCGTAAAACCAAGAAACTTACCCCAGTTAAACACGAATGCTATAAGTAAAGCTCCTTAGTCGTCATAATTTCCCACACTTTGAGCGTAATTTAAGATTTTTTCCAAATTACATGACTTAGGGAGCAGGCTGATTTCCAAAGAGTAGATAAATACACTGTCAAATTTAATGTGAGACTCAAAGTGTATTGGCTTCGTTTCGGAAACCTCGGGGATATTAGGTTATGTTTAGCAGGCCGGCCAACCATTTGTCCATTATGCTGCCTGATGGTATACAGGGGTATTCGATTTCTGGTATTAATTTGAAATTGAACGAGTTTTAAATGATAGTCCTGTGCTTACAAAAACCAAATGCCTTCAATTTCATTTTATAAATTCCAATATGCATATTTTCATGTGCACTAGTTTTAATGTTAAGAAAATTCTTATACACAATTCCAATTACCAATAAATTCAATCGATGCACACACAAATTGCCAGCATAAATGACCAAATTTTCAGGAAATCATTTGAAATAAACATGCGGCAGCCACAAAACGTAGTGTTTAGTAAACATACCCTTAGACACACCTACTCTCACACCCCCACTCACCCCCACTCACACCCATAGACACACATACACATTTATATATACAGAAACCCAATTCCATTCACCGTGCAGAGACTTTCAAATTAATTGTAGCCTAACGTGCGGCTACTTGCCACAACTTACTGTAATGCTAGTTCATTTGCCACGCCCCACACCATGGCAAGTACACAGACACACACACACACACACACACACACACACACACCCACACGTAGTGCGTAGGAGCATCCCAACTAAGTAAATAATGCGTAAAACAAGTCGAGCGTTTTACGGTTGCCCACTTCGCAACTCCCCGCCCCGCCCCGCCTCAACATACCCCCTCTCTCTCTCACACTACCCCAAAGAGCTCTGCTCGCATAGGAAAACAGTCAATTGTAAAATTGTGGCAGGCACCAAATAGTAGAAGGAGCCACAGGGAAGTTTTAGCTCGTGCTGTCTCTGCCTGATGACTGTCGACTGCAGCTTGATGAAGGCACTGTCAGGAAGGGCTCCGTCGCGCGTGTGCCGGTGTAATTCATTATGCTGACTAACTAGAGGGTAGCCGGAGAAGCAGCAGCAGCAGCAGGAACAGGAGCTAAAGCTATGGCTACCATTGTCAATGGCAGCAAGGCAATAAAGAAGCGGGTGCTGCAGGGAGGCTGCTGAGGAACAATTCTCATGCAGATAAACATTTGTGCACATGTGACGATGACTATTCAAAAAATAAAAAATAAAATAGAAAATAAAGTAAGAGAAATAGCTACAATTGTTGTTGCTAACGCAAAAATTGTCAGTCATGGTTAGACTTCCGCCATCAACAAACTAAAGCTGTGCCACTTCAGCTGTGTGTGTGTGTGTGCAAGTGTGCTCGCGTGTATGTTTGAGCACGTGTGGGTATATGTGTGTGTAAGTGTGCTTTGCTGCGACAGTTGCGTGTTTGCTCTCCGCCTGAATTCTCTGTCGGTGTGTGTACTTTATCATTTTTTGTATTATTTATGCCGTCTACAAGTTATTCAAGTGCCAGTTGATGGCTTTTAATTAAGCCAACAAGCAAACTGCATACTAAAGTTGTGCACATTTAAAAAGCCTTTAATAGTTAGAGCCTTTAACTTAAACACTAAAACTAAAATAAACATGCGCAAACAGCATTTGAAATATAATTTAATTTAAAAAGACAACACGATTTAGTTACTCTGCCTCACGCAAAGGCTTTTCCATAAAAAATATAACTTGCTTAACATTCAAAACCGCGAAATATTCCAATGTCAGCTATATAATATATACTACCTGCAAAAGAAGACAGTTTCGTGCCAAGTTATATGGCGAAAAATATAAGAATCTTATAAGGGTGGAGAAGTCTCCTGAAATACGTTTCGCACATCTTGCTTAAATTATAATACGCTTTTTCAAGGGTATAAAAAATAAGTGCAACATCACAAAAACAAACTGTGTGGCACACATAATAAAAACTGTTTTTTTTTTTGAGTAGTGCCGAAAAAGTTTGATTTTGACAAGCTATAAAATGTGCGCGCCATAAATCAGTGGGGCGTGCATGCACGATAAAAATCAAGACACACAGACAGACACAAGTTATATGTAAACTATATAACTAACACAATATTGTGGCATAAACAGCAATTACTTTAAAGTTCGAGCCCTGAGCTGTTTGGCTAAGCAAAAGTTTAGAGTAAACTGTATTTGAGCAGCTACATTAGCAATTATTTATGTAGTGTAGTCCTGCGTGTGTTTGTTTGTGTAGGTGTTTTTTTTTAAGGTATGTGTGTATCTGTTTGTGTATATAAGTCGTGTAATTCTGCCATATAATGTAGATTATTTTAATTTTA